TTATAGCTATTTAAATAAAAAACATTTGAATGTAGTTTTTTCAATATCCGCGATATATACCTATATACTTATGTACATAATATGAATATTTATTTACTATTAATATGTAACATATAACATATTTATTTCTGATTTATATAATGCGCATATATATGTTTATTTATTTATTACTAACATAAACTTTTAAGAATATTTTATCACATAATTTTATTTTCTATTACTAGAACTCCTGCTTCAAATAGGGAGGCGGTTACTATATGTGAAAAAATTTTCAAAAATTTTATTTCCAATAAGTGGAAAACATCAGAAGCTACAGTGTTAGACTTAAACCTATTAAAACTACCTCTTAGGAATGAGTTGAAAAAATCTCAGCCATTAGACTGCAGATAACTTCCTGCTAGAATCGCATTCCAGGGGAATGAAATATTAGAAACTTAGGACATGTGCGAGTTAGGCTAAGTTGCGTTCTAAATGAGAGAAATTTTAAGTTGTGCCGATAATGTAGTGATGTGTCGATACGTGTTGATATATGGCTAAATGTGTGCATTCCAAAAAATTCCAAAAAATCTCCCATTTGGTTTAGCATCAACTTAGCCTAAGTCGCACACGTCCTTAGTATTTGAATTTTTAAATTTAAATTTAACTAAGCGAAGAGTGAGAGCATAGTTTATATATGGGCGATAGTATTCATAAAAGATTTGAACTCCTTAAGAGTATACTCTATGAAGCAGGTTACTATTCACACGATTGAACTATGAAAATGTGTGGGGGCAGTGATCCATTTTATTAAAGTAGCAAAAAAGGGATTAGGGAAACTTATGAGAAAAATCTTGATAAAGTTCGGTGGGAAGTTCTTTAGTGTGTAGAATATCAGGAGGGAGATTATATCGGCGAATTAAATAACTGCGCATTCTAAAGACAACAGATGCTCATTGATTATTTTTATTAGTAAGAAATAACTTTTAATAGAATTGTTAGTAGAACGAGAAACTCGATTAGAGTAGTTATGGAGTAATACAATAACACAGTTACGAAGGATTTTCCTATAAAAAGCACGTAAGTGTTTCAGAATAGAAACACGTTGGTAAAAATTTTTAAATATAGAAGTTTAGTTTTTAATTAGGCAACATTAGTAACATTAGCATAACTTTCTCAGTATTACATTCTTAGATTAGATTCTATACATAAAAAAAAATATAGGTATATATCATGCAACAAATAATGCCTCTACAAAAAGTATACTATTGAAATTTAACAATTAAAAATGAAAATATAATTAATTAATTCAATTATTCTTCAACTGGTTTATAATTTCGTTTTAGTATAAACACAGCAAGTGAATTTGTTAATAAAAATTTCACTGCAAAGTAACAAAACTCCAGAAAAATGTGCTTTAGGTCAGTTGGTTAAGGAGCGCTGACTCTGAGCTTCAAATTTGGCAGAACTTGAATTTGATTCCTGGTAGTTGCAGTCTCAATAAAAAATTATTTACTAATAATTAAATACAAGAATTATTTCCAAGACCACTGATGATGAAACAGCTGTATGTTGAACCAAAAATTCAGTTTATTAATGAATAATAAAAGTTTTGTTGTTGTGATTCACTACTTTTCGAAGAACCTCTTTTTAATTAAGTGAACTCTTGGATAAACCATACAGTTTTTCGAATACTTTCAAATATGTATTATCAATGGTTTTTTAAAAGATCATTGTTCGTAATTGTCTGGAATTTGACCTTGTCTAACTGTGGACTCGTAAGTGAACATACAAACGCAACTTACACTTAATTCGCGAAATTCAAATTTCGTAGTTCTTATTGCACTTATAGTAATATTTTTAGAACTAATGCCTTAACCACAGCTTATTATTTATAGAATCAGCACTTTTTTCATATGAAAAAGTGAATTTACTATGAAAATTATTGGTAATCATCGGGCGATTATGACTAGCAAATATAGTACATATTTTCAAGCATGCATTTATGAGCATTTCATGTAGATTATTCAATTTCCGTTTCCAGATTTTGTGAATATAACAATAAACACACACATACATTCACACACACACATACACATAAACATAAAAGCAAGCGCAAGCGCGCCATCACTTTACGGAACCCAAAGGCAAAGGAAATATTTTAATTATTTTACTTATTTGTATTCCAGCAATGCAACCGTCTTACTTATCGGCATAAATCAATAACAAAAGTAAGAACAAAGTAAGTGTGTCTGCTACGTCAACGTCAACGTCAACATCAACGTCAACGTCAATATCAACG